AAAAATACATTTAAAAAAAAGAAGACAATTACAGCCAATTTCTTAGAATTGTGCAAGACCTAACCCAATGAATATGCATTTACACAGAAATAAATGTATATCTGTCTATCTATCTGACATATACATTCCTCTTTGTATCTGTCTAGTAGATGTGCATGTTTAGATTGATAGATATGTATTTATTTAAATGTATATGGTGGTCTGTATTATGAATGTTTATGTATTTATTTAAATGTATATGGTGGTCTGTATTATGAATGTTTATTGGGTCAGGCCTCACACAATTTTAACAAACAGGATGTTAATATACAGATCTAGTTAGTTTGAGGATTTGTTAATTGTGTGTTTCTCAGCTAACATACTCATACATGGAATTTAATATTTGCCATACTAACACAGAATGTAATAAGGGTATAGTGATCAACTTTTGTAATTTATCTTTTTTTCTATTTTTTTAATTCCTTGTTAAAATTTACAGAAATTCAAGCAATGTCAGGTTGTGGTGGTGGTGGTGGTGGTCATGGCCATGACCACTCAGGTCATGGCTCTTGTGAAGGCCATGATCACACTCCAGCTGAACTGGGCGTGGCCTATAGCCTGTATACAAGGATAGATATTGATAATGTGGAGTGTCTAAATGAAGCTGTTGAGGACTCGGGAAAAACAGTGTTCAAACCTTGGGAAGAGAGGCTTGACAGGGAAAAAGTAAGTTATAGCCACTTCACATAGTTTATTACATTTATGCACAGCTAAGAAGTACTAGGAAGATGATTGGTATTAAATGAATTAGATTACACATAGCCTCAACCTACGATTTGGTTGGCACCTCCCATGGCATATTAGGAATAATTATGATCCTAATTAGTTGCAGCACCAGATAAGCTGTAGCTCACAACACTAGATCAGGACTCCAGCATCTTAGTCCAAGCATAATATTATTAAAATTATCACTATCAAAAGTCAAGGTGTGGTAGAGGTAACAGTTTGCCCTATGCTTTTCATTTTTCAGAAACATATTTCATTTCTCAAAAGCTTTATTGATTTTTATTAGATAATTTTACATTAGTCGTTATGTCTGTTATTCCAAATGCTTATGTTATTTTATAGTTTGTGGAAAGTGATGCTGACGAGGAGCTGCTCTTCAATATTCCGTAAGTAGTTTAATATTAATGTATCTTCCTATGCATCAGTAATGAAATGTAAGAAAATTTGATATTTCTTTATTGTAGCAATGTTTCTTTTCATCAGTCACATTTTCTTGCAGGTTTACCGACAACATCAAGTTGAAGGGAATTATTCTTGTAGGTGGGGAAAATGGACATCACCCTAAAAAAATGAGACTGTAAGTTATTGAAACCCAATACTGTTTTACTGCTGCAAAGCCTTGATTATCACTAAGTACATGCATTGGCCACTTTTGTCTTGTCAGTTTTGTTTACAATAATAAATTCACAAGCACATAGCCACCAGTGAGTCAATTACAAGGCCTGCCTGACCTCACCTGTTTACCCCATTTCCTTTCTGATATACTTACTATCAATACAAATGTTATTAATGGCATAATTAACCATATCGTAACATTTTTAACAATTATGATGATAATAGAAGAGAAAAAACTTTTCTTGCTGAAAATTCTTGGAATGGATTAAACAAATTCTAGACCCATATATATATATGCATAAAACAAAAAAACAGAAATACAGCAATTAAATGCATGCTACTGACTGATTGTAGAATTTCAAAGTAAAAGACAGATGAAATTTGATAATAGTAGTAATAAAAGTAGTATGATAATAATGATTATACAAAAGAACATAAGGATAAATTATTATTATTCTAAGAATGATGTAATAATAACAATAATAATGGGAATAATTAGATTGTGTATTTTGTACACATGTGCATATATGCACTGTAGGTTAGACTATTACCTTACCCTTCATATATCAAAGACCACATTGGTATATAATTATCTATATATACTAATACTATATAGTTGATAAATGTGACACAGACGTACTGTAATTATGAAATCAAGCATGTATCTGTTGTGTATGTTTGTATGATAGTTTTAAATGGTTATTTTCCCAGTAAACAATAGTGATTACTTTTGTCAACAGATTCAAGAATCGTCCTCATATGACTTTTGATGATGTAAATTCTGCAGCTGAGCAAGAATTTGATTTGCAGCAAGATCCAACTGGTACATTGGAGTATACAACCAAGTAAGAAAAATATTGTGTAGTCTTACTTCTTTGTATATATTTGCATAATTACATTCCTGTATATATATATATAGTTCATTCAACTAGTCCAGTTTCAGTCTCCATTCAATTTCTCGTTGTGGCCCTTTCATACCAACTCAACCACACTTAATGATATACATGTTACATGCCTAGATATTTTTGCAAGGCATCTGGATCTAATGGGTTGATGTTGGTTATGTACAATAACTTCTTTTTTATTCCTTCTTTTTATTCCTTTTCTTCCTTTCAGAGTGGTTAAGTTTTCCTCGGTGACTCATCTGACTATCCACTTCCCAAGTAATTTTGGTGAAGAAACAACTAAAGTTTCTTACATAGGCTTCAGAGGAGAATACACAAAAGCACATAGACATGGTGTTACAATTTGTAATTATGAATTATCTCCGCAAATGATGGACCATAAAGATAAAGCTTTAGATTCCGTTGGTAAGCCTATTATGTGAGGCAGTTTGTGTGAAATAATTCACAGACTCATGCTTGGAGTAGATTGTGACACTCTTCAAAGGTGACAGATAAAATAATATAAAAGCTCAAACTATGTTATAAATGGGTCACTGATATGCATTATCTCAAATGAGCTATTGGCCTGACTTTGTAGTGCTTTTTTGGCTTCTGAATGGCAGATGACGCAAAATTAAGAGTGATGAGTAGGAATGGTTCATTACAAGGCATATGGAAAGATAGCTGTAGACTACAATTTTATTAGAATGTGCAAATCCCATTTTTGCAAACACTGTAACCATTCAAAATTGGTAACTAAGATATGTAGTTACCATATGTACGCAAGTTCTGTAATGAACACCTGGCTGTGATGACTTAATGTTAAGTGCAACAAACTGAGATATTTTAGCAGGGCTATGCAGGTCTTATGATGCTGTAAAGTTTATGATTTAATTTTTTTAGTATATGTAAAAGCAAAACTAATGTGTAAATTATAACTGGAGTTACTAGATTTTAGATTATTTAGAACCATATATTACAGTGTTACTCACAGTCCAAGCTATATCAAGATATCACTGTGTAATCACTAAGATTGTGAATTTATATGATTTGTAAGAGTACATATATAACAGCAAAATACATTTCATAGATCTGTATTTAAATATATAAGGTTGATTTTATTGCTTCTTCATGAGACAGTTTGTGTATGAACTTTGTAATATTGCAATCTGTAGTTGTCTGTGTAGCATGCATCTGTTATCAATTTTAAGTAAGAATAAAGGGAAAAGACATAGCATATGTTTAGAGCTTCAAATGATTATCATTTGTTCCACTGGACTACCTTGGCAAAATAAAGGTAGATAATTTTACGGAAACATGAAATATTATTGTTGTTGTAGTAGTCAGATTACAAGTATTTATCTTTTATTGTTGAATAACTTGCTACACGAGGAAAATTATATTTGAACTCGCCTTCCCAATACCTTGCTTGTTATTTTCATGGGAGGGCTTAGGAGATGGAGACTTAGGGCCATACCATAAAAGTTTCAGGAAAGGGCAGGCGATCGCCTGGCGAAGCATCGTCAGGCGATCGCCTGCCCTTTCCGAGTGTACCACGAAACAACACTTTTATCAGGCGATCCTTCGCCCGTGTTTCCGCTAGATAGACCATCGCTAACATAGATAGATAGATAGCTAGATAGACCATCGCTAACTTTGAACGGCGCGGGAAATTTGAATTATTTTACCTTGACACACATCACCATAAGCAGAAATAAAGAAAGCCTTTCCACAAGATACTGAGGGAACCAATCTAAAGGCAAAAAATTCAATAAAGCACTGTGATGCCTAACAGACAGTGAGAAGTTTGTTGGCCTTTGCCGGAGGCGCGGAGGCCTGGAGTCGCTTATGCGAGTTTGGTGGCACAAGTGATATCTTAACTAAGGAGCAGAGTTATTCATTCTAAATGGGGAAAACATGTTTCGTCACTTTCAAAAATCTTTCCTGATATGAAAACTATAGCTGTCAATATTCATTTGATCTAATATATGTGTTTATTTTGGCGAGTAGAGACAGCGTTCTTGACACCTCACCCGTCCAGAAATCAGATAAGTATGGGTAAATACTTCAAAATATGGAATACTTATAAGATCATTTATGACAATGATTATTTGCGATCCAAAAAATACATATGTAGTTTTCTTGGGTTTTCAAGTTAAAAATTATGCATTTAGTTTAGTTCTACTGAGAGATACTTAAGAAAGTGGTGATGAAAGAGGGGTATAGCTGGCTTTCATAGTTGGGCGATGTTCCAATACTTTTTCTACCGCGACCGCCTGGCAAAGCTGAAAGTTGTGTTTTGTGGTACGAAAATTCGACCCTTTAGTGGCTGGTAACGCCAGGCGAAGGGAAAGCAGGGTCTTATGGTACCGATTACGGATCGTCTGGCGGAGAGTCGAGCATTGCCTGACTCTTGTTTTTTTATAGTACGGCCCTTAGCCCCAATGTGGGCCTCAGCCCTCGCCTCAACTAATTTTGCTTTTCTTCTTCTAATTTTTCCTCTTCCATATCTTCTTTATCCCCTTTTATCCCATTTCTATTCATTACCCTTTATGGGGACCCTGAGGGGTAGACCTCTTCTTTTCGCTATTTTATTCAGGCTCACCATGGCCAATAATGAAGTTTCTTTATCCTTAATAGGGGCATTAAGAATTGCCCCTTCACCAGCTAGCCTATCTAATTTTGATTTTAATGGTTTTCTGACCCCTGCCCCTCCTTTGACCATGGCTCAAACCACTGATACTAATACCCCTTCTTTGACGCTTACGAACAACTCATAACTATTCCAAAACACTTACCCATTTATGACTCAACCTCCAGAAAGCACCCCTTCATCTCTCCCAACATTCTCCTCTCTGTCTCCTACTGCACAGTCCTCTTCAATGTCTACCCCCTCTTCCCGTATTGCTACTCTTCATCCTTAATGTCCTCCCCCCCCACAACCTCCAAGGAAAGTTTCTGCACCCCTTCTTCATCTCCAACATTTCTCCTCTCTCGTCTCACCTACTCGGCTTCAGGTCCTCTTACCATGTACTAATCCCCTCTTTCCCGTCTATTGGCTTACGGCTCTCATCGAAAACATTTCCTCCCCCCCCCACGGATACTAACTATCCCACACCACCCCATCTTCCTCTCGCCCTCGTCCTGCTGCCTCTACCTCTGCAGACCTTCTGAGTCCAGCATATTTTCTTTGTCCCAGCCTAATGGGATCGATTCTTTGTGATTCCCCCCACAGCCCCTATACTGAGAATACCCTTCTCTTTCAACAGTGCCTCTAGAAACAAATAGGCAAGATTACCTTTCGCAGTCGCTCTGATCATTCACGCCATGACACAGTTGCATCTGAATCCCAAGCTCATGCACTATCTACCCTAACTGACCTTACTGGCAAACCCATTCCTGCCAGACCTCACCCCTCTCTTAATACTTGTACTGGAACTGTTTCTATCCCCCAAATGCTTGTCCTATCTACAAGGACTGGTCAGACTGTGAAAGTGACCTGCTTACCTGCCCTGCTGAATATGATGCAGTGGCGGTACAGTGTTACACTTCCTCCAGTGCAAGTCCTATGTCAATATTGCCAAGGTTAGCTTCCATAGGCATGACCTCCCCCATTAGGTTTATATTGGTGGCTTGTCCTATCATATCTGACAATATCGACCCCTTCCTCATCAATGTCAGAAATGTTGGTGTTTTGGCCACCCAGCCAAACACTGTCATCCACAGTCCGCTGCCCTGTTAAAATTTTCCTGATCAGTCACATACATGTACCATTTGTGGAGACTCCCATAATGTATTTTATAGAAGCTACCCTGCCTATAAGCTCGAATGTGAGGTAACAATCCTCAGATTTAAACTAGGCCTTACTCTATATGAGGCCAGACAAGAAGCATGACGACAAGGTTTTTCTCTTTCAACTTATTCCGAAACAGTCCTTCACCTTGCTCCCCCACCATTTTCACAAAATATTTTTGCAACTCCCCCAGTATCACTCCCATATATCCGAAACCATCCTACGTCTACTCACCCTATCCCCCGGTCTAATTCGTTTTCCAGTCTAAATCAAGATACTCCAATCTCTACCACTTCCCCAATACCTCCCGCTCCTCCTCACTTTATTTATCGTACCAGGCAACCAAAATATTCCATTCCACCCTCTCATACTACATCCTCTCCTACACCTTCCTCTTCTGCTCCTCAGATATCAATCTCCTCTTCTCCTCTTCATAAGAGAACCTTTGTTTCTCAGTTCTCTTCACCCAGTTCCCCTTTCTCATCCCCTGGATTCTTCTCCTGCTTCTCCAACAGCCACCTCTGTTTTCCTTGAACCATGTCCCTATTCCTTTTCCGGTCACAGATACACTCAATTCACTGCAATTCCCATTTTACTAATCCCTGCTCTACTTCATTTATTTCTGTCTTCTCCCTTTTCGTTATCATACTTTCCTGTAAGACTCTCTAATCGTTGACATGTATCACCTCCCTCTCTCCCCGGGTTTCTCAACTTTTTCAACAGCCATCTCTGTTTTCCTTGAACATTGTTCCTATACCTTCTCCAGTACACACACACACACACACACACACACACACCACACACACACACACACACACACACACACACACACACACACACACACACACACACACACACACACACACACACACACACACACACACACACACACACACACACACACACACACACACACACACACACACCACAATATATGTATACACATATATGTACATATATATACATATACACACACACACACACACACACACATATATGTGTGTGTATATATATATATATATATATATATATATATATATATATATATATATATATATTATGTATGTTTTACCGAAATAAAAGTGTTTTTTCATCTATGTAGTCAGACTTCTTGCATAATCATAATGTCTGTTGGCTTGTTGAAAGTCAGGATAAGTATAATGTTAATAGTCGTGCTCCTGAGTCTTAGTTTCCAGGTGATATTATAGAAAATAGAAATATTCGACCAAGTTTTGTTTTTCAGGTGAAACGATATTGCCCATCTATATCTATACTTCTGTGGGTTATTAAAATAGTTCAGGTCGGTAATAACTTCTGTCTAGTCACAGATTTGGGCATCTGATAGCGTTCTATTTCATTGTCTGTTACCAAGATGATAAAATGTCTGTTACATCCTCTTTCCTCATTTTAACTATATACGTGTTCTGCTTCATCAGTGACACA